ATAACTTGGACTTGGTTTTTTAGTTATTGGACATTTCATTTTTTTTTGTATGTATTTTATTTTATTTTTCTATAATAATAAGAAAAGAAAAACAAAAATGTATAATTTTCTAAACTACAATAGATAAAAGATATTAATTTTAATGTGTAACTGGTTTAGATACCAAACAGTATAAAAACGGGCAAATGTGAGTCGGACTTGTGCACCGAAGAAATTGTTCCGTAGAAATATTAAATTTTAATACCTTAGAACACATCCAATACTTACAGTGTTTTCATAGTGGTTGTATGAATGAAAAAGTAATGTTTTGGTTTTTTTAAATGTGCTATATCTTAGAATGTGACTATAACCCGTTCAAACAAGTTTAAACAAGCATATTTTTACGTAGGTATTCCAATCTTCAATTTTAAAAGTTAGGGGGAAGGGAGCAACTCTCACATTTGTGATCTTTGAAAGTGATGATGTAATAGGTAAAGGGTTCGACCGTTAGCGGTTTTTCTACTAACTGTTTACATTAGTGGATAGGGCCCGTATGCATGGAGCTAGTGATAAACTTTTCAGTTTCAGTCAAAATCTAATACAAAAATGAGTACGGAAATAGCCGCAATCCGCATGCGGGCTCTATCGACCAACGTAAATGAGTTTGCACTAGGCATGAAACTAATGACAATCAATGAACTTCTAATGAAAATATGCACAGAAATCGCTGCACTCCGCATGCGGGTCCTATTGACCTATATAAAAAAGCTTGCAGTAGTGGATAAATCAATGACAGTTATTGATCGCCTACTGAAAATATGCACAGAAATCGCTACACTCCGCATGCGGGCTCTATTGACCTATATAAATAAGCTTGCTTTAGTGGATAACCAATGACAGTCAACGACCGACTAAATATGTGGCAGCTGCACCTGAAACTTGTAGAATATAAGTAAATACTTACTTTTTGGTTCACAACATAATTATTTTTATAGAAGAAGTTTACTTGTCATGTATTTAGGATTTACTCTTTGTGACACGTTCTTGAGAAATATTCAATTTTGCGTTGTTGTAAATTAATAATTAATTAGTAAATGAAATATCGCTTAAAACTGAAAGATTTATTATTTTCAAAGTGAAGCCACAATATTACACGATTGAGATTACCACCACAACTGGAATTATGTTGTGAACCAAAGAGTAAGTATTTACTTATATTCTACAAGTTTCAGGTGCAGCTGCCACAAATAAAATAAGCACAGAAATCTTCCGCACTCCGCATGTGGGCCCTATCGATCAATGAAAATGAGATTGCATTAATCGATGAACCTTGGAATTCTTATACATTCGTCAACGTCATGTCTATCTGACTGTGCGTCCTCCAGTACGCCACAGCCACTTTATCCTGAAAGTATTAGCGTAGATGATACATAGTTAGTCGGTATTTCTTTTGGTCTGTTTTTTGGTCGGGCTTAAGACCTACATAATATATTGAGAGCCTTCTAAGTAGATGCATTCTATAAAACACTAACATTTTTTCATTTCCTTATTCAAAAATATTTTATTAGTATTTTTTAATGTTATACTTTAATTATAAGAGAATATTTTTAGTACCCTTCAACTGGTAATAAACAAATCGCGACTGTAAGATACAAGCGATTCTCCAAACTATCTTATAATAATACCACTGTGCCGCATTCTTGCAGTTACGTTCGGTAGCGTGACGTCAGACGCTGAGGTACCGCGTCTAGCGAGCGCAAATTCAAAGTCCTATAAAATTTTTATTTATGTAAATATTCAAGAATTATTTTCACAGTATTTTGATACCGCTTATTCCACATTTTAAATTGAAAAAAATGTAAACCTGTCAATTACATCTTTTCACTTCTAATTAATTACAGTATTAACAAAAAAAAAGAACGATAACTAAAAACAAAAAAATTAAAATTATGGTGGATAGATATTTAATAAATATTCTTTAAGAAACAACTAAAAATAACATTACACACAGTAACTTACTCGAAGGCGACACCACTGTGAGCAGTCAGCGTGGAAATTGGAGCAGCTTTCAATAACTGAACTGATCAATTACTGCTTTCAAATATCGGACACGTACAAAGCTGTGGTACTAAACGATAGATTGTGAAACCCTATTAATTGCAATTTATGAAATTGGGTTGCACTGTTAATTGGTGTGCACTTATTTAAAATTATGTAATAGAAAACAGTATCTGTTAAACTTATCTATGTTATAATAAGGGCTATTTACCGATAGTTAAATTCCACAAACCAAAATTATAATGGTTAAGTATGAAAAGCAATTACCAAAGTTTTTTAGGTATTTCGTAAAAAGTAAAGTTGCTGAACCATGCATACCAACCTAACCTACATTTATTTGAAGAAAGTGCACACTCCTGCTCCACGTGAATCTAACTAACCATGCATACCTATGCTCAGTTGGGTAATAGCGACTGCAAATACCACCGGGTTTAAACCGGATTAACGTCCTTTACGAAGCACGGAGGATCTTAAGATATCACTTAAAACTATTCTTTCGAAATTGCTTAATGTTGTGATTGTTGATCGAATACACCAACTACTGTGGGAATGCCTTTGAGCTTCTCTACTTGTATTCGTACATTGGCGTATTTTACTAGCTCGTATTCTAAAGATATATTCTTTATAGTAATTATGTCGAGTGTTGGAATTCGAGCAATATGCGAACTTAGAAATACGAAAACAACCAAGTGTAATGCTGTTATAATACTTTTTATTCGACTATTCGATAAAAAGGAACATTTAATGAGGTGAAGAAAACGCTAAGTCTTTATGGCATCCAACATTTTCTATGTAACAATATTCTCTATTACATTCAGAACTCTTAAGATATTACCAAATCTGAATTTTCGGTGTACTAAATAAAATTTAACTGATATTCGATCGCAAAAACAGTCCTCGTTTTTTACTGTGTATTATTTCAAAGGGTCTCTCTAACCCCCTGAAAGCAATTTGCATACAACTCCAACGTTTAACCCTTCCTCTCGCGTAGCATTTTCATTTAATTTTTTTTTCAACGGGCTGTTTGCGCACCCCTTTAGTAAAGACGTTAATGGTTGCTGGATGCTTGGGCGTTGAAATGGGAAACAGTGTGTTGAGCTTGAGTGCATCCGAGAAATTAATAGCCATTGCCAGGTACAACAAGGTAATAATGTATTCTAAAATACTAAAACAAAAGTAGGATATTAAATACATTTAGTAAGTAATAAAAATTAATCAATAGTTTATTCATGTGTAAATTATGTCAATAAATATTTCATTCATTCATTATTTTATGTAAAATTTACCAAAGATTTTTAGAGGGGAGAACAGAAGAAAATCAGGATCAAGAAGATAAAGGATCACAATCGAGAAACCAGATTGCTTTATCATGGACCACAGCTTAGTTCTTAACTGGGATTGACCTAATGCGACGCTTAAAAGAAGTTGCGGAATAGCTATAAGTGACAGTATAGTTAAAACTTCACCTAGCCTCAGATGAGTAAAATTTAAGGCTGCATAAGCCAGCAACGCAGTCCAAAAACTAACCGCAGCTCATTGACAAGGAACTACAATTGACAAGAAATCACCTCAACCAGACTATAGACCAATGGTCATCAGTTCTGTTTGGTGATTAGAGTCGAATAACTTTATTTGGCTCCATTGGACGATATTACGTCATATGAGGGCCAGGTGAGCATTATGGCCATTGCTGCATAAAAGAAATGGTGAGTTATGATAAAAACTACTATTTCTCTACTTTTTTGTACTGGGATATCTTTGATAGCACAGTGTGCTGGTATTTATTATTGACAAGCAATCATAGAGAATATTTACATTGACATTAAAAAGAAAACGAATAACAAATGGAATTGAAACAAAAAAGGTTTACTATCTTGAAATAAAAATAAAACTATTTTAGACGAATTGAAGCAGCAATATCCTAAAACAAAAAGTAGTACTACGGGATCCCACCCCTTCTACCTTAGGAGACCTGGATACTACTATCAGATATGATGGTAGGGGAATCCCTCAAGGATCCATTGCAGTTTTAATAAGATCTCTAAAAAGAAGAGGCAGGCATGGGATCTCACGGCATCGGCAACATGAACGAAAACGGACAGCGCCTTTTAGAACTATGCGCGTCACAATCTGTGTCACTAACACCTGCTTTAGCCACAAGCTAAGGCACAAAGTGTCATGGAAACATCCGCGTTCCGGACATTTGCACCAAATTGATTTTATATTATGCAGGAGACGTGCCTTGAGTGATCCTGAATGCACGTTCTTGCCACAGTGCAGATTGCAACACGGATCACTCAATGGTTGCGGTTAAGTCTCGTCTAATGCCTAAGAAAATCCACTCTCAATGGAAAACTCGTATTAAATCAACGCTTAACAATGCAGCCATGTTCGAGAAAGGTCTCTACCCCAAGTTTGCTACGGACATTGAAGACAAATTTGCTCATGTAGATAATGAGTAGCTCGGTGGCGTAGTGGATTAGCGCTGCGGCCCGTGATCGTAGTCGTTAAGCAACTTTCGCAAGGGTCGGTCACGGGATGGGTGACCAAAAAATTATTATCTCGAGCTACTCCGTGCTTCGGAAGGCACGTTAAGCCGTTGGTCCCGGCTGAATTTGCAGTCGTTAATACCCTCCAATCCGCATTGGGCCAGCGCCTTAACCATCCATAAGGAAGGCCTGAGCCCCTGCAGTGAGGACGTAAAAGGGCTGATTATGATGATGATGAGATAATGATGGGTCGGAATCGATTGAGGACATTTGGTCAACTTTCAAAGATACAGTGTACGAGTCGGCCCTTTTAAGAAACAGAAAACTGTAAAGGATTGGTTCTCAGAGTACGAAGACATACTTCGCCCATATGTTGAACAGAAAGGAACGGCTTATATCAATCTAATTAATTATCCTTCGGATCCTACTAAGGAATCGGCGTAAAACACCGCAAAATCTAATTTACAACGCACCATGCGGCACAGTGTCAATGAGTTTTGGGTGAATCTTTGTAAGTCAATCCAACTTTGCTGTGATGCTGGCGACTTTCGAGGTATGTACCAGGGCATTAAATGTGCAATGCGCCCGTCTGGCAGGAAGAAAGTAGCTATTAAAGACATCTTCGGTAATCCTATAACCGAGAAGCACAAACAGCTAGAGAGATGGGCTCAGCATTATTCCACTCTTTACTCTAAAGAAGTTAGTATTAGACCAGAAACACTACAGTGCATACCAAAATTTCCTATAGCTACAGAACTTGATGAGGTTCCATTATTCGACGATGTCTATTTCTTAATGGACTCAAACTTGGCAAAAGTACAGGCCATGATAACCTGCCTGCTGAACTGCTAAGACAAAAATGCGTTGCTGTTCACCTATATGCTCTCTTCCGCCGCTATGAGGCTGAAGGAGAAATACCAAAATATATGAGAGATACAGACATTGTTACTTTATATAAGGGAAAGGGAGACAGAGGCGACTGTAATAACTACAGAGGAATAGCACGTTTGACGGCGAAACATCTGAGGCCTTCGAAATCAATCGTGGAGTGAGGCAGGGTTGTGTCCTCGCGCCTGCACTCTTCGGCATATTTTTTTCGGCACTGCTTCTGGTAGCCCTTCAAAATTGTGACGTCGGAGTACATCTACATACAAGAAAAGATGGTAAGCTGTTCAACATCAGTTTACTTAAATCAACCAAAAAACGCATGAACATCACTGCTAGAGAACTTCTGTATGCTCATGACGATGCATATGTCGCGAACTCGGAGGAAGAGCCCCAGGAACTCATAGCGAGATTTAGTCACGCTTGTGACTTGTTTTCTATGAGTATTAACACCAAGAAGACAGTCATTATGTTGCAGGGCGTAGAAAATCAGCCTAAGATCACACTAAGGGGAACTGTTCATGGGGTCGTCGACCATTTCTGCTATCTCGGCTCCATTATAATAACTGCTCTATCCAATGACAACGAAATAAGGTCTCGAATTGGCAAGGCCTCTACAATGTTTGGCAAATTACACACACGTGTTTGGAAAAATGAAAAGCTCACAATCAACACAAAAATTCTCGTGTACCAAACTTGCGTGCTGAGTATTCTTTTGTACGCATCGGAGACGTGGACCACTTACACCAAACAAGAACGTCAGTTGAACGCTTTTCATATGCGATGTCTTAGATCTGGGAGTCACGTGGAAGGACAAAATGAGTAACGAGACAATTCTCTCCAAAACAAACACTACGAGCATCACAGCAATCCTTAAACAGAGACGACTCCGCTGGCTGGGTTACGTACAGAGAATGAACCCAGAAAGACTACCGCGTCAAATTATGCTAGGACAAATAGCGCAAGCGAAAAGACCTATTGGACGTCTGAAGCTGAGGTTCAAGGACTCCTGTAAACGTGACATGGAGATCTTTCAAATTGCTGCTTGCGGTTGGGAAGACCTTGCCATAAGGAAACCTGAATGGTGCCGCACTCTAAAATTAGGGTTGTCAAGACATGACGAAGTTTGGTTACATAAACTGAAACTGAAAAGACTCCGAAAAACTGAAGCTATCTCTACCGACTCACGTTTCACTTGCAACAAAATGTAGAAAGAAGTGCCGGCCTGCTATCGGATTATTCAGCCACAAAATAAAATTGCGGCAAATCCACTGATTGATACAGCCGCTGCAACAATTATCTGTAAAATAGCAGCATTATAAATTAAAGCTAAAAAAGTAGTAACAAATTTTATTTTAATTTGTTAAAAATATATTTTTTTATTAAATCATCAATTAATTCACAAATATGAAAACTATTTATGTAAAAAATACAGGTAGGCGTTTTTGTAAAGACCATTATTTACTCTATAATCACATAAGTCTGAACAAAATATAACGCATTCGTCACCTTAGCAAGACAAAGGCAATTGCGATGCGAACAACGGTTGGACCGCGACCCGACGACGGATTAAAGTAATGGGACTGAATACTAAATGAAAACGGACTGAACGTTCTTCAAAGAGCAATAACTGCGGAGAATGGGCATTGTGATTTGTTTAAAATGATTCACAAAGAAGTTTTCATGCCGCGGAAACTCTTTATGCGTCAAGATTATTTTTTCATCCCGTTATTTTCTTCTTAGAATGAAGACGAAACTGATTTGACATTTTATATTAAGGTTCTCTTGTAATCGTTGTTTTGCTCTGTAGTAATTGTGTGACAAAGTTTCACTGTCACTTTTATTTGTCTATTTTTTCTTTAGATATTATTTTTATAAATATAACAATAATATGACACTGAAAGTACCTATAAAATCCCTCTAATTTGACCTCCTGGACAAATTAGATCCAAAATTTACCGCAATTTTTAAATTCTATAGGGTGTAATTTGAATATAATTAAAATAACATAACATTATATTGTATTTTTTACATACATATCATAATATCATTAGGAAATTATCTATGCCAAATAGTAATATGCATATCGTTCTATATTGTAGTAAGTGGTTCGAGTGTCATTCACTCACTCCTGAGGTGCTATTAAATAATACTAGGGAAGCGAAGAACTAGAGCAGTAGAGACAAAAATGAACGGTCTGGTGACATACATAGAGATATCATCATCAGCTTATATTATCTCTGTGGATCGAACCGAAACAAACGGAAAGAATAAGCTTTAACCACTGCAGAAGCAACCGGGACCAGCAGCTTAATGTGCCTTGCGATGCGTGCAGGAGCTCGAAATAATAAAGTTTTGATTGCAAGTTGTAGATACGACAAGTATTGTTAAGTATGAAATTTTGATGTCTCTTCTATAGAAACATAATCAGTGATGACATCGAAGCGCCGCGGGTCTGTCACGTCTCCATCGCGGAGCGAGGAATAAACAGGATTACGTCCACGCTGAATGTACCTTCTGTCTTTCAAGAAGTTTTTAATTTTCACGTGTCAAATGGGATTGATCATTTCAATGATTAGTAAATCGTATAATTTTAGATGCCGGTAGTTAATTATACAGTTCCAAACAGAATGACATCGTAATTATTTAACGACTTCAATAAAAGAGATTTTTTTTTAAGAAAATATTTAACAAGCCTTCTACTGCAACTTTCGCAAGGGTCGGTCACGGGATGGGTGACCAAACTTATTATCTCGAGCTACTCCGTGCTGCGGAAGGCACGTTAAGCCGTTGGTCCCGGCTGCATTTGCAGTCATTAATACCCTCCAATCCGCATTGGGCCAGCGTGGAGGGTCATGGCCCATCCTCCTTAACCATCCATAAGGAAGGCCTGAGCCCCTGCAGTGGGGACGTAAAAGGGCTGGTGATATATAATATTGCAATTTCTTTAGATTGTATTTAAAATACAATCTTATTACCTGTAACGTTTCAATATTCTAGAAATATTCTTGACAGAGGCTCTTTTTTTCAATAATTTTGAGATATGAAGTACTAAAAAAATTACAGTCGCTACGAAAACTACGTTGTTCGAAGCTTAATTACGCCTTATTATACAAAACCTTATTTATACGTAACTAGTACTATCATACTCTAAAAATAACTAGAGGCCCATCTTTATTTAAAAAAAACCTCAAGCAAATATTTTAAATGCCAGCCCACAGAATTTCTTATTGCTGATTCCCGTCTCCTCTTGCGAACCGTAAATTACGATCGTAGCGTCAGCAGAACGATGATCCTATTTACATATTTGCTTGCCATTGGAAAAATTGAGCGGCCATTTTTATCAACAGGCTTTTTCGGGACGGCCTGTTTTAAAGACAGTTCATTCGCAAAATTCATACGCATTAATTAAGTATTAATCATTAGTTATCTATGAATTTCAATGGTCTTTACAACCCTACATAAACATTTCTTTAATTTTATACTTTTGAACTATTAATGTAAAGAGGGAAAAACATTCTTTTTGTGCATTTGAATACACTCTGAAACTAATGGACGGATTTTAAAAACTCTTTCACCTATGGAGGGTTTCATCATATGCAGGTGACACGGGCTATAATTCACGCAGGCAAAGTAGTAGGAAACAGCTAAATATGGTATATAAAAAATACGATTAATATTTCTTGTTGTCATGATATAGGATATAACAGAAATATATAATAGAGTAAGGTAAGGGACTTACATTAAGTTCTGAGATATTTTACTTTTTTTTTCGGGTTTCTCACGACTTCAAATTATTTCCTGTAACTAAGTGAGGCCCAGTAAGTTCGGAGCATATACAATGCAAACAAACACTATGATATAACATAATAATATGAAACAAATAAGTGTGATTTCGTTCACGAAATCCTATAAGGTCGTATTTACTTATCGTTATCATTCAATGTTTCCAATTGTGTCAACTTGCCAGCCTATCAATATCATTAAGGGCACCGAAAGCCCTTTGACGGCTATCTATGCAACTAATGCCTTTTCTATTTCTCTTACGCAACAATATTGAAAACGGTAAAATATCTCTCGAGGAGATAATAATATTATTCACTTAAAGATACATTTCTCAACGTCTAAATCTTTGTGACAGATCGTCCAAAAATCTCACCTATGACAATTCCACATCGCTCAGAACATACGCGTCTCTCCTCCATAAATCAGGTAAGGAAACCGTTATAAATTTTTTGGTCAAGAAATTGGCTGGGTTCCTGATATATATCGCCTCGTCACGGTAAATACCCACTCAACATACAGGAGTAGATTTATGGGAGGCAATATTAGGCTTGATGAAACTCCGTAGAATCGCCGGGACTCTTTCCGGACCATATTTTATAGTATACTATGTAAAATATAACGGCGATAACTAAAGGTCGGGGAACATGAGACTCTGTCACTCTTCTGACAACAAACTCGTTTTCGAAATTCACGATATAAAGTATATACTGCAACAATCAAACAATCTGCTTTCTAGTTCTCTCGGCGCTTTAATTATTTAGTCGATTTCCCAATCCTTAATGGATTTATTTTAATAATCATGATGTATAAAATATATAATTTATCTATTGGCCCATTTTATACTTCATCCACAAATACACATAATACACATAAAATATCTTCAACCAAAATATATATATATAGAAAAAGAGTTTTTGTGGTGGCTGCCTGATTTTTAAGCGACTTAAAGGAGAAACTGCTAATTCGCCTCTAAATAACATAACAATAATTTACTTTGTAGAACACTATACCAACAAAAGCTTTTCATCTAAAAATCTTGTCAAAACGACACCGAAAGTTTCACTTCTCACTCTACATGCCCTAACTTCACAAACTAAACCTTTATCAAAACATGTGACCCTGGTCGTTTTGCTACCGCTGTCGTAATGTTACTATATATTCACACACAGTCGTATTTTATT